ATGTCCCTCTCGTGTCCCCTGACATCTCATACGCCGGCCCTGTCAAGGCCACCACCATTCCTGGCGTGGTGCCCATCATCTTCAGAGATTAGCACATGGTTTGTGTGACGACGGTGCATCGTCGTCTTCAGAAAACCAGGTGCAGAGTACGTGTGGCATGTGGAGCAGATGGCGATCTGCCCGACCTGCCACATGGTTCGCCGTTTGCAGCCGCTGCTTTGTGCCGGTCGCCGCCGATGGCGAGGGCTACCTGCCGTGAAATCCGGCAGCATTCATGCAGCTCCTTTCCTCACTAGTTTATGGCTTTTCTTCCCTCTTAGAAAGTTTCAGAGTTAAAAACCGTCCGGAGGTCACCAAGTTTGTTAGGTTCTGAACAAAGTGAAAAAATTCCGGTTCTCGGTCCAATCGCCCCCGCGACGACGCCGGCCGTTGCTCCTCCTCGTCGCCACCGTCGCCGTCATCGGCTTTGGATGTTTCTTCATGTAATTAATGATATATATTCTACAAAAACCTGTCACGTTGAGATGAACAATGAGGCCCCTCTCACCGAGCATTCAGGAACGGGACGGGTGATGACTGATGCCGGCCGTGTCGGATCCAAGTCACCCTGACTAAGATCGGTCTCGGTGTGACCCTACGCTCATTAATCAAATCGCTTCATTATGAATTTTTCTTTACCGTCTGCTTTCTTTTGGTGGCCTAACAATCGGTCTCCATCGTGTGGGACAATGCAGATGCTGTTATGCGGTTCGAACTGAATTTGTTATTTTTTGAAAGAGCAGAAACACTTGCTTGCTCGTGCATATGTGTGGGCGTGGCCAGCAATAATAAGAAAATAAAAAAAAACATGTGGCTCTTGTGCCACGTATGAAATGATCATGGAGGTCTCGCTTTCAGATCTTGCAACCGGAGCGGCGCACGCAAAAATTATTGGATGTTGCTTCGCTATCTGTCTCCCATGACCGGTGACGAACGACGGGGAGAGATGCCAAAATGATGAACGGAAAATGAAGTATATGAATGGCCAAGGATGACGGCGGTGTGCCGCAAGCATTCATAGAGAAGAAACAAGAAACCTTCCCGTCCTCGGGAAGCCGTTTACTAGTATGTACCGTAAGGCGATAGGAGCATCCGCACCGCTAGGTGTTAAGCAGAAGCGATACGTGTGATGGTCCATTCGAAACCGAAGCCGAAAGGCGCTTGGGGTACACGAAAGAGGATATTAGAAGCTTATATGTCACAATTCTCGCTTCGTCTAACTTGTAGTACACATTATTTTTAGATAAATTACCTAACACTGTCTTACGTCTCCACTTCCATGTGCTTCCAAGAATGAAATACTCCCTCTGTCCCAAGTGGAGACGTAAAAAAATTCTTATATTATGGGACGGAGGGAGTAGAAGTGAAAGAAAAAAAGAAGGATATGGAGGAGACCAAAGTGGTGTCTCCACTTCTTTTTCGAGGTTTTACCACCAGTCAGTCAGGCGGCTTTTGGCAATACGGGTTACTGGTGCTAGGTCTGCTATTAGTGCTAAGCTTTTTGCCAGAGGTCTTACATTTCGTAACACTGCTAGATACGGATGCTCTTAGACATGAGTACACGCATCAAGGATAGAAGCCTATAAGAGCCGCGCGGCCCCTCCAACAACCCATAGCAAAGCTAATATTTTCAAAGAGCAACAAACCAAGAAAACAAAAAAATTCAACCAGTAATCCAACCGTTCTATCACGAATTTGCCGTTTACTCTCCTTAAAAAGAGATATGACAAAATCATGAACAAAAAAGGAGGTATAATATATAACTAAGGAAGACGGCGGTGGGCCACAAGCAAGAGTTCGCGGAGGAGAAAAACTTCCTGTCTTCGAAACGTTGTCTAGTATAGGTGATAAGAGTGTCCACATCGCTAGGTGTTAAGCAGAAGCTAAATGTGAGGTTGTCTACCCGGAGACGAAGCCAAAAACCTCATTGTAGCACATACTATTCATTATTAGATAAATTACTTAACAATTTCTTACGTGTCAACTACTATGTGCCTCCGAAGATGGAATAAAAGTAACATAAGAGTTATAAGGAAGCGAACAAATCGACGTGTCCACTTCTACTTTTCGAGAGGGCTCACCTCATGTTTCAGACATACGGGTTATAGATGCTCTATGATCTACTTTGGGTCCAAGGTTTTCTGCCACTGGTTCTTTGCACTATGTCATTGTCAACGCCGTTTTCCCTTATTGCTTTATTCTCTATTTAGCACCGAGATACAAATGGTCCTAGATACGAAGACCCACACTAAGGTTATAGCCGCGGCCCCCTCTGTCCACCTATAATCGAGTTCATTATTATTATTTTAAAAAGAGAGCAAGAAAGTAAAATAATTCAACCAGTAACCCATTGTTTTACAAGTTCAAGGTGTCGGTCACCCTCAACCTCCTTAAAAAGATTATCATCTTTGACCCTAAAGTTTAAAATTCGACATCGACCTTCAGTCTAGGTAAACAAAAAAGAAGAAAAATATGGGGATGTTCATACATATATATAGTCAACAATAATAAAATAAAAACCACACCACTCTTGTGCCGCATATGACACGATCGTGGATGTTCCACTTTTGGATGTACAACCTCTAAGCGGCTCACGCAAAAATTATTTAATGTTGCTTCGATATCCGTGTCCCATGACTGACTGATGACGAACGATAAAAAAGGGATGCTTAAATGATGAAAGAAAAAGGAAGTATAATAACTAAGGAAGACGACGGTGCGCCACAAGCAAGTATTCACGGAGGAGAAAAACTTCAAGCCTCCGAGAAGCCCTCTAATATGGTTGATAAGAGTGTTTGCATCACTAAGCGTTAAGCGGAAGCTAAAGGGGGAGGGCCTATCCGGTCCGGAGCCGAAGCCGAAAGGTGCGTTTTGTACATGAAAGAGAAAAGAAGCTTATATGTTACTATTCTCACTTCATCCTAACACGCACATTTTATTTTAACAGTGTTGTACTCTCAACTTCCATGTGCTTCCAAGGATGGGATAGAAGTAACATAAGAGGGGAAGAGGGCAAATTGATGTGCCAATTTCCTTTGCGTGGCTTTTGTTTATTGTTTTGTTTCTGACCATATGGGGATAGATGCTCTAAGTTCTACTTTGACGCTAAGATTATCGCCGTTATTTTTTCTTACCATCGAATCTCGTAGCATTTGCCACTAACCCTTTTTTTTCCTACCACTTCATCTTTCGTTTAGCACCTTGAGATGCAGACGCTCCTAGATGCGACAACACACGCCAATGGCCATAAAATCGCGACCCCTTGTTCGCCCATAATCAAATTTTTCAAAGCGCGAAAAGCCAAGAAAGTAAAATATTGATGAGATAACACATTCTTTCTTGTGAGTTTATTATGGTGTCAGTCACTCTCTGGTTTCTTATAAAGATTATCATCTTTTCACCCTAAAGTTTTAAATCCGACATCATCGACCTCTAGTCTAGGTAAAAATAATAAACAAGAGAAACTCAGGGTCGTTTGGCTTTTGTGGACATTGAGTGTTGCTTCGGTATTCGTTTCCCATGACGGGTGACGAACAATGGAAAGGGATGCCTAAATGATGAATGGAAAAGGAAATATAATACATAAAAGTAAGGAAGAAAGCGGTGCTTCAGAAGCTAAGTATTTGTGGAGGAGAAAAACTTCCTGCCTTCGAGAAGCCATCTTACATACTCAAGCGGGATAAGAGCATCCCGAGTCGAAGCCGAAAGGCGTGTGAGGTATAGGAAAAAGGAAAGAAGCTTATGTGTTACTATTGTCACTTCATCCTAACAGGTACAATTTTATTTGTAGATAGAAGTACCTAACAATGTCTCACGTCTCAACTTTCATGCCCTTCCAAAGATGGAATATATGTAACAAAAGAGGGAAAGAGGGCAAACCGACGTGCCCACTTGGTCGGTGGGGTGTTCGGTCCCCATATGTTTATGACCATGCGAGTTATAGATAGATGCTTTAAGACCTGCTTCAACGCTGATACATATATTACCACCGCATCTCGAAGTATTCCTTTGCCGCTAACCTTTTTTGTACCGTGTCGTCCTTAGTTTAGCGCCTGGAGATGCGGATGCTCCTGGGCACGACGACACGCGCCAAAGGCCATAAAACCGTGGCACCCTGTCCCCACCATCAGTTTTCTTGAAAGCGCGAAAAGCCAAGAATGTGAAATACCAAGGAATAAACCATTGTTTTGTGAGTGTATTATGGCGCGGGTCACTCTCGGCCTCCTTAAAAAGATTGTCATCTTTTCACCTAGTAGAGTTTAAAATCCGGCATCCACCTAGAACCAGGGTTTTTCCGAAGCGCGAAAAGCCAAGAAAGTGAAGTAAGACCCATTGTTTCGTGCGTTTATTATGCTGCCGGTCACTCTCGGCCTCCCTAAAAAGATTACCATCTTTTCACCCTAAAGTCTGAAATTCCACGTCGGCCTCAAGTTTTCTAGTCCGGTCTAGTAGGTAAATAAAAATAGTAAAGAGGAGAAATTCCGTGGGGGCGGGGGGCCGCTTGGCTTTTAGCCAGCGGCGTACGAAAAGATGCCATTCCCGATGGCAGGCCCGGCCGCATCCAGGGCGCGGGGCCCGCCCGGCCCGCGGGCTGGCTGACGGCCGTCAGATTGCCGCGCAGAGCGCCGGGATAGATTCCCCTCGGAATCCGCGCGCTGCTCAGATGGGCCTGTGACGTCAACGCCCGCCCCGCTGGCCTCGCCCCCTGCCCCCGGGCGGGCCCCGGCCCGCTGACGCGATTCCACCGGTCGACGACGCCTCGATGGGACGAGCGGACTCTCCGTCCTCCTCTGCGGTTCCACCCCTGTAGTTCCCTGGAATCTGTCTTGAGTACCGTAAGTACCACTGGAGCTTAATGCGTACACGTGTTAAACTTGGCTGATGACAAGCATTATTGTATCCTATTTTTTTTAGGGGTATTGTATCCTATTGGTACATGGGCTTTCCCTTTGGTGAGCAACGTGCCCAAGTTCATGTCAAACAAAATTAGATTATCCGTGTCTCCATACACTTCCTTCAACATTTTTCAAACGCCTTCTTCAAAAAGAATATCCGAACAGTTCTTTCAACAAAGGCAGTGGCGTACAAGTATTTGTATCATGCATGCAGTATAAGCAATAGTACACTCATTAACATTGTCATAAATACAACCATACTCTTCAAGCAACTCATCTGTCCCTACGATGAAAAGCGACCGGACGAACCGAATAATCAAAATCACACATACATTCTTGACAACATTTGGCCAACTAATACTAGCTAGCGCCAACCATGGAGCCATTCGGCTTATTTTGAGTTATCGGTACCTTGTTATAACCGGCTCCGGCGCAAAGCCGGTGTGTTTTTTTTTACTAAGGACCGATCTCATTTCCCCACAAGAAATAAATACCAATTAATGAGAAAAAGTATGACAATCAATGATGTCATCGGGGCGCCAATCCTTCTTTGTTGCGCTCAACGTGTAAACAGAAACCAGAGCGTTTGAGCCATATCAAGCACGTCAGCGTCAACATCGCGCATCCTTATTCTATGTCTCTACCAGGAGGACACAAACACAACGGGTAACAACAAACCGAAAGGGCCGCCGCGGTACGTCGCGTTGTGTCGCGTCACCATCAACCGTGCACATCCCCTCTCTCAAGAAAGGAGGCTACACCAGTGTTGTTACCCTCACCGGTCCATTCCAAACCTGGTCATATTTGGCGGGGTTTTTAAGCTTCAAAAAGCCACTACCATACACCACACCATGTGTTCTTCTCAACTTCCCCAAAATTCTGATCGTTTCTTACAAAGACAAAGTAACAAATATGACGCTGCCTACAACACTCAACAATCTGGGCGTTTTCGGTGGCGCTAGCCTTGACGTGTGCGGCACTTATCTTAGATTAGAGGGTCTAATTTAATTTTTAGCATACATTCATCTTTTTGCTCCGGGTTTGGAAGGATGGCCAGATTTTTTAGCGGTACTTATACTGTCTGCAGCATTTTGAAATGCTTATCTGTTAAAAGCAAATATAAATAGTCCTTTCAATAAAGGTAGTGACGTACGTACAAGTATTTGTATCATGCATGTATAAGCAATAGTACAATCATTAACATTGTCATAAATACAAATGCACCCTTCAAGCAACTCGTTGTCCTTACCACGAAAAGCGACCAAATGAGTCGAAGAATCAAAAGTATACATACGTTCTTGACAACATTTGGCCAACTAATTCCGGCGTGCCAACGGTGGTGCCATTCGGCTTATTTGAGCTAATACCTTCTTATCCCCCGGCTTGAGCGCGAAGCCGGGATGTGCTTTATAAAAGCACCGATCTGCTAACAACACCAAATCTCATTTCCCGGCAACAAATAAAAACTGTGCCTCTTTTTTAATGAAAAAAGTTGTATCCCAATCAATGATGTCATCACCGCCCCAATCCTTCTACCTTGCGCTCAACATGTAAACACAAACCAGAGCGTTTGAGCCATGTCGAACACGTCAGCGTCGACATCGCGCGCCCTTATTCTATGTCTCCTCCACGAGGACACAACACACAACGGGTAGCAACAAACAAACCGAAAGGGCCGCCGCCGCGGTACGTCGCGTTGTGCCGCGTCGCCATCGACCGTGCACAACCCCGGACCCCTCTCTCAAGAGAGAAAGCTACATGCATCCTTGCCTTGTGGTTACCCTCCCCTCAGCAATCTGTTCCAAGCACGGTCATATTCCGCGGGTTTTTTAAGCTTCAAAAAGCCACCACCATACCATGTGTTCTTCTCCCTTGTGATGACAAGGAGCAGAGGTCATTAACTAATGTTCATTCCATGAGGCGGCCGGAGAGAAGGAAGACCGTCTTGCTCACTCCGAGGGCCTCTCACCGCAATAAGAACAAACTTCAAGGTCCTTTCTGCAAAAAGGCCACCCCCACCTCCACAACAGTACAGCGAGTACTATAAACAGCAGAGGCCGCGTGCCAGCCGAAAGAGAGCGAGTGAAGAAAAACATAAAAAAATAAAAATAAGCTCCGCCTCTGCCTCTCTCCTCCCTCGCGCTCGATTCACACCGCACCTCGCAGCGGTTCCTCCTCCTCCTCCCGGCTGCTTCCTCCTCAATCCCCCCAATCCGCCGGCCGAGGAATTCGCCCGTGCGCCAGGGCTCCCGGATGACCCCCGCCCCGACCCGCCGCTCCCCCTGCTGCTGCTTCGCCTCCTCGCTCAACCCCCCCGGAGCCGCCGCCGCCCGCTAGTCCCTCGCCGGGCGAGCAGAAGATCCGGTTTTGGCCCCCGCCTCCGCCGCCGCCGCCGCCGCCGTCGTCTTTCTGCGGAGAGCTGATCGCGGGTGGGGAGCGCGCCGAGCTCGAGGTCAGTGCGCCGAGCCTTCTCTGATTTCTGGATTTCCCCTCTCTTGTTCATCGACGCGGGCGGTTTTCAGGAGGGGAAATCGGGCCGCGATCCCGACCTTATCTCCTGGACCGATTTTATCATTATCTTGCTTTGCCGGCTGCTTTCTGTTGGATTGTTATCGAAGCCGCGTTGATCTTGTTGCGATTTATGAGCCGCTGACGACGCTCTATTTTGTCCGTCTGCCAGGCTCCAAAACTGAAGAAATTGGTTGTATGTGGTAGCTTGTGGCAGCAAAAAGGAATGCCCTTTCCCCCCTTCTTTCTTGCTCTGTAGAAATGATTTGCCCCATGAACATAAAGGAGCAAAGCCGCAGCCTTGCCTGCTAAGGTTGCTTCATCATCGTTGATGCCGCCTTTCGGGACAACACCGCCCGTTCGTTCCCTCGTTTTCTCACTGGACGAGGCTTTCTTGTTGGATTATTAGTATTATTACTATTATAGTCGTGCAACTTTTCCGCCATTTTTCCTCGTGAGGCGGCCACTAACTCTGCAGGAATAATAATAGTCTTGCAACTTTTCCACCATTATTTCTCCTGTTGACGCAGCCGCTAACCCTGCAGGAAAACAGGGTTGCCAGATACAGTTACCCATATCTCTTGTTAATAATCCGTGTTTTGTTATTACCAGTTTAGATATATCTTTTTTTAGCGGACAGCAGTAGGTGAGGCCCTCATTTCGCAATCCACACCGAGCACGTCAGCCGTTCGTATCAGAGAAATTAAGGTGGATATCGCCTGCAGTTAGTTCGCTCTCCCTGAACGGCCTCTCGGGCATAATCGGCAGTTAAGACGCAATCCACTATTTTAAGGCTGCTACAGAAAGCGTCTGATTGGATTATGGGACTGTTCCAGCTTTTCTTGTTTTCATAACGTGTGATGGGAGTAATCATATTGGGTTGTTCAATCAGCCTTTGATTTGATCTTGCATGTTATTAGGTTGTTGATTTGGTTGCTTAGACTGATAATAAGTTGTGCTAATAATATCTTATAATGTGGTAGTGGTCCCAGGAGGGGGAGGATTGCGTACTAATCTGTTGGTTTTCTCCGATCTGTCGTAATCGTGACTAGTGTATCGAACACATTTAGTGAGGGTGCTCCTAACGTGACGGCTCGGATCATTCATTTATGTCGAGTCTCTCACCAGTCCTTGACTTTGTTGCAGCCGCGCAAAATTAGCCGTGTATCGCGCATTTCCTGTTCTTCTTTTGGTGTCCATTCCCTTATGCTAAAATCACTGAATCTACTTGGTAGGGGCAGTGCTTTTGACAGAGAATTTGAGCCCCACGGATGAGCATGTGTGAGAAAGATCAAAATTTCCACTGGGCCTACGACCTTTTCCATGACCCCTTTGCCGCTCCCAACAGCTACTACGGACATCCTAATGGTTACAGTGACAGCAGCTATTGTGACTACAATTATGCTAGAGGTAGTTTTGTGGAACGTCGTGCAATTCTTTTGTGCAAAACTCATGAAAAAAAGAAGGCAGTATTCCTCATGTGTATGTTTTTTTGGTTCTGCAGATGCATCGCATCCCGATGAGACATATTTGCATTCCTCCGCACTTACGTGTGATATGTACAACCCACAAGTAGGCATGTACCATCCTGGTAGTGAAAATATCCATGGTCTGATTCAGCCCTTCACCTTTCGCGGTTTTGCTATCCCTCCTAATGTATTTTGTGTGTTCCAGGAAATGTTGGCGGGCAGGAGCATGAGGCAGTCTACGTAGATCCGTCTAGTTCCTCTTCATACCCTGAGAGTGACGATTGTTTTGAAATGGAGGAAGAAGTAGGGAAGAGATTTTACCCCATGGTCCCAGTTCCCGTGAGTCTATTGATCCTTAGTCACAGTGTTGTTCCGCTAAGATTGATTTCCCTCCTTAGTATCTAGAATAAACGAAGCTTTGCTTCCAAGGAAGCTTGATAAGTCCCATGTTTGCTCACTCACTAAAGTACTCCCTCCGTTCCCAAATACTTGTCTTTCTAGGCATTTCAAATGGACTCAATATATGGATGTATGTAGACATATTTTAAAGTGTAGATTCACTCATTTTGCGCCGTATGTAGTCACTTGTTGAAATCTCTAGAAAGACAAGTATTTAGGAACGGAGGGAGTAGCTACTAAGCAATGGCCAAAGTAGGTAAGATAATTGACAGAACACCTGTGCACATGTAGCTAAAATCTCAATGGACAATTTCACCAATATGTATGTCAGTTGGATAATTGATTGTGAATACTACTTACTTTAGTGGACAGCATGATAAGAAATTCGTCCAAAAGTCTGTAAATACATTGTAAGGTGAATTAAGTTCAGATATTCTTAACTCCATGTTAAAATTTGGCAACGTCCAGATGAAAACTGTGACTTGGCTACCAGGTTCAGTTTATAGAGTTTTGCATACAAAGCTGTGATTACTGCCTTCCTTATAGTTTCATGGGAATAAATTATTACTTGTACCTTCAGTATGGGAAAAAGGCTGCAAGTTAAAACTGCTACTTGCACAATTAATCAGCATTCTTTTCTTTTCCGACACATTTATGCATCTGTTATTAGCTTTGGTTCCATTACACTTACAACTATGATTAAACAATTTATTTTGCCTTCTCCAGCATGTCCCTAAAATTAATGGTGAAATTCCATCACTCGACGAAGCCACCATGGACCATGAAAGGCTGTCAGACAGGTCTGTCTTAAATCTCACTTCTCATGGGTTCCTTGTGATAGTAAATGCTGTGGAAACATTGACTTTATGAGGGATCAGATGTACTAGAATAAGTTTGATAATGTTTCTTCTTAACTTTCTAAACAGAGTGTCCACGTGTAGTTCAGTAATTTTTACATGTATATTGTTGTAGGTTGAGGCTCTATGAACTAACTGAGAACAAGGTGAAAGGTGATGGCAATTGTCAGGTTTGTACTTAGTGCCATCCTCACCTGAATACTTAGTTTTATTTTGTTGAAATAAGCATAGTAGCAGCAGTAGTTGGGTCAGCTCTTTTGAATTATTCAATCATTCGCGACTTACTCTTAGACCAATTGATGCTAATCTAACCTTCTCAATTCCACAGTTCCGTGCACTATCAGATCAGCTGTACCAAACTCCGGACCACCATGAGTTTGTGAGGGAGCAGATAATTAGCCAGGTAATCAACAGTGGTAATCTTTCTTTCGTGATCCTTAGTTTCATTCTTTGTTTTCACACTTTCATCTTTCGTCTGATAAATAATCGGTTCCAGCTTAAAAGTAACCGGGAAGCCTATGATGGATACGTCCCCATGGCATATGATGAGTATCTGGAGAAAGTATCACGGTAAGCTCAACAGTTCAAAAACTGTTCATGGCTAGTAGTACAAATTAGTCACATGTGAGTGCTTCCCCAGCTAATATCTTGGTGCATAAACTGACAGAAATGGTGAATGGGGTGACCATGTGACTTTACAGGCTGCTGCTGACAAGGTGCTTATATTTGTCTTGCTCATGGGCATAACATATTTCACAGCTGGCAGGGGTTGTACTTTACTAAGGCTGATTCTAACGCAATTTGACAATCTGTTGCAGTACGGAGTGAAGATTTTCGTCATGACCTCGTTCAAGGATACGTGCTACATCGAGATCCAACCCAAGGTTCAGAAGTCCAACAAGGGTATGCAGATGATTCATTTTCTTTACAGTTCCAAGTGGGGTTGGTTTTGGCACTTGACAATGTACTCTGCTATTTTTTTCTTCTCTGGTTTCAGTGGTGCTGTTGAGCTTTTGGGCGGAGGTTCACTACAACTCGATATTTCCACAGAACGGTGAGTAGCATGCCTTGCCTGCCATTGGCATACATGCAATGCATGTCCAGTCCCCGCCGCAAACGTATGCAACCAACATTCCGCACCGACACCGCGATCTCTGCCCGATAACAGTAATCACTGAAACCCTCTCTTTTGTATGTATGGTTTTGCCAACAGACGCTCCGAGGTTGCATCACACGGCGAAGAAGAGGAGATGGTGGCCCTTCTCGCAGCACCACCATTGATGAGGCTCTCTTCCCCCTCCTCGGCGCGTGTACTCTGACGGCGTTCCGGCGTGCAAAGCACTCTTGCTTCTCCACCGAGATGGATGGCCCCGGGGCAACGCGCTCCTGGTCGTCCTGGGAGGGGCCGTCGTGGCGTGCGCTCGCTCTGACAGGAGGAGAGAAAAGAAAAAAGGCGTTATGGTTGTCTGAGATTATATTATAGATACATGGAATGGAAGGAATAATGAACATGCGACCTGTCCCGTATATAGTTTTGGGTTGCATTGCAGGCTCTGTTATGTATTTACATACAAAATTTTGCCGGAATGAGGCTACATACAGTTAATCATTCATTTGGAATACAAATGATATTGATGGTGATACTACTAATAATAACTGGGTGGAGGCAGTGTTAAAGAATCTGTTGAGTATTTGCGATGTTCTTTTTAGAATGGATCTGTTTGAGGTGTCTTTGATTTGGTTCGAGAAGAGAGAGTTGCTCGGTTAGTTTTTTTTTTGTGTGTGAGAAATGTTGCTCGGTTAGAAATTTTCTTTTGGAGGTTGTGAAGCGTCTGTTTTTTTTTTGAGAAAAAAAACAGACGCTTCACAACCTCCAAAAAAAAGAGAGAGCCCATTGACCATTTTGCGTCTTTTCGCAAAGAAAAAAGATCATTTTGCGTTAGTGGAGGCCCATGAAACATTCTCAAGAGGTTAGGGCTAGTTAAACAGTGCGGGCCTCGGCTGCATTTGGCCATCCAAGCATGTCAATTATCCTTTCGCTAAAAAAACAGCATGTGAATTTTCCTCAATAAAATAAAATAAATCAAAGAATGTAAATTTTCCTTCAATTAGAAAAACACATTTAAATCTTCCTCAATGAAATAAAATAAAATACAAAACATGTACTTTTGTCTCAAAATAAAATAAAATCCATGTATTTCAATAAAGCATAGTCTCTGATCACGGATTCAATGTCAGAATAAATGAAAACAAAACATCATAGTTTTGTGAAATACGTACAAAACATCATTATTTAGGAAAAAGGGAAGAAGAAAAAGAGGTTGACCTGCAATTGATTTTTGCTGCGAGTCAGATGGGAAAGAGATGGATGCATTCAAACAAGGCGTAGTCAGTTTTTTTCTCTCTCAACGAATTTAACAATGAGGTGTCCAGGCCCAGGGGTCTCGAACCACTACGATTCCTACCCTGGTGGGTCGGACTGAGGACCCCTTGATCGGTTTCATGTTGGGCCATGTTGTGCAGCCCATGACAATTATACGAAAGACTCCAGAAGACTTGTTGTACAAGCCGAACATACCGAAGCCCGGGAGGAGTCTACTTCCATCGATGTAGCCGGCTAGTACCTGTACCCCTAGGAACCCTGGTATGTTATATAAGCTCGTGGCAGAGCTCGTTGATATGATAACATACAATCCCTTAGTATTCATATGTACTTTGTACACACCCCAATCACAATATGCACGAATAGGGTAGTACTTCAATCGTGAGGGCCCGAATAGCTGACCACTTATTTTCAGCGACCTGCTGCAACATAAGCATGCCAAGTCAACAATAAATCAGTGCCTAATCACAAAACCAGATGCAAAACCACTCTTGATGTGACACTAAACCGCTCAGGGCTAGATTAAACCGGTATTGACATTTTTAGGGTCTCAATCAGACCAAAATTGACTTTGGGGGGTTATGGAGGCATTGAAGTGAATTTGAGGGTAAAAACTATACTTCTTTCTAATAGAATTATTTTCTTGTCAACTTTGAAGTAAAAATAATTAAGTAGTTTATGTTAGTAGAAGATATACAATACACCATTTTGGATCAATTGTGTAGAAACAGAATATATACGAAATCAAGTTTTGCTCTGTCGTTATCCATAGAATATGCTCACTAATGGAGATACATTTTGCATTGGATAGGCCACATATTACTCTTCTCTCGGTTGTGCATAGGAAAGAAATGCATAATACGAAACAATCTTTTATGGACTCTTTAGAATTTTTAATAGGGCATCCCATTAAATGGTATCAAATTCTCATCTCTATGTTGTGGTGCAGCAATTACAAAATAGTTAAAGGAAAATCAACGGGGATTTTTTAACAAAGCAAAATGATGTATCATGAACGTTAAAAGAATTTTTTGGGGCAAAGTAGATAGATACGTTGTGGGATTTATTGCAGATTTACCTACGAAAGTAACGAAATACATTGGGAGTTGGGAGAGAGACAGGGTGGGAGAGAGAAGGGGCGTCGAAAAGAATTGTTTAAGTAAAAGAAAGCGGTCGGTGATGTCTCCCAAAGAGTGGCCTGTGAGCGAGATAAGCGGTGAGTGGTGGAACGCGGATCGAGAAATTTCTGGGGTAAACCGACCTGCGGCAAGTGTAATCACCCCACATAATTTCTCAACAGTAGGTAATATAAAAAACCTTAAAAAGGAAAACAACCCTCTATACTTTTGTTTAAAAAAATCTCTTTATATTTTCCATAGTTTTCTGTTCACGTGGATGCACTATATACTGTTCATTCAAAGTTATGTTCTCTTTTTTGTTCACGCGGATGCTCTGGGTATTGTTCATTCAAAGTTATGTTCACTTTTTGGGGGTGGGTATGGGTATATGAAATTTATTCGACGGGTATGGAAACACCGGTCACATAAACACTGCTGCGTACGAAATTATTGCTCCGGGAATAGTGTTTTAATTTATTTGATTTGTTGTTTTGGTTTATTCGGGTTACCGTTCTTTAAAAATCATAGTATTTTGTTTAAATCGTTAGAGGAAAATAAAATCATGGGATACCAGTGCATAAGAACGGGCCTAACATAGACAAAACACTGTGTCCCTAGTAAGCCTCTACTAGACTAGCTCGTTAATTAAAGATGGTTAAGTTTCCTAATCATAGACATGTGTTGTCATTTGATGAACGGGATCACATCAATATGAGAATGATGTGATGGACAAGACCCATCCGTTAGCATAGCATATTGATCGTTCAGTTTTATTGCTATTGCTTTCTTCATATCAAATACATATTCCTTCGACTATGAGATTATGCAACTCCCGGATACCGGAGGAATACCTTGTGTGCTATCAAACGTCACAACGTAACTGGGTGATTATAAAGATGCTCTACAGGTATCTCCGAAGGTGTTTGTTGGGTTGGCATAGATCGAGATTATGATTTGTCACTCTGAGTATCGGAGAGGTATCTCTGGGCCCTCTCAGTAATGCACATCATAAAGAAGCCTTGCAAGCAAAGTGACTAATGAGTTAGTTGCTGGATTATGTATTACGGAACGAGTAAAGAGACTTGCCGGTAACGAGATTGAACTAGGTATGAAGATAACGACGATCGAATCTCGGACAAGTAACATACCATGACAAAGGGAATAACGTATGTTGTCATAACGATTCGATCGATAAAGATCTTTGTAGAATGTGTAGGAGACAATATGAGCATCCAGGTTCCGCTATTGGTTATTGACCAGAGAGGTGTCTCGGTTATGTCTACATAGTTCTCGAACCCGTAGGGTCCGCACGCTTAACGTTCGATGACGATTTTGTAGTATATGAGTTATGTGATTTGGTGACCGAATGTTGTTCGGAGTCCCAGATGAGATCACGGACATGACGAGGAGTCTCCAAATGGTCGAGAGATTAAGATTGATATATAGGACGATAGTATTCGGACACCGGAAGTGTTCCAGAGGGTACCAGGTACATATCGGGTCACCGGAAGGGGTTCCGGGCACCCCCGGCAAAAGATATGGGCCTAATGGGCCAAGAGGGGAAACGCAGCAGCCAACAGGGGCTGCTGCACCCCCCATATGGGCCAAACCAGAGGAGAAAGGAAAGAGGGGAAGAGAGAAGGAAGGGGAGGGATTCGGCCTCCCCCTTCCTTCCCTCCTCCCTCCTCTTTCCTTCCCCCTCAGGAACTTATGGAAGGGGGGAGGCCGAATTGGTGAGGTGCCCAAGTAGGATTCCTCCTACTTGGGGCGCCCCCTTGATTCTCACCTCCCTCTCCCACCTATATATACATGGGGAGGGGTGCCTAGAACAAACAACAACAATCGTTGGCCGTGTGCGGCGCCCTCCTCCACAGTTTACGCCTCCGGTCATATCTTCGTAGTGCTTAGGCGAATCCCTACGCGGATCACTTCACCATCACCGTCACCACGCCATCGTGCTGACGAAACTCATTTACTTCCTCGACACCTTGCTGGATCAAGAGGGCGAGGGACGTCATCACGTTGAACGTGTGCAGAACTCGGAGGTGCCGTACGTTCAGTACTTGATCGGTCGGAGCTAGAAGAAGTTCGACTACATCAACCGCGTTGTCAAACGCTTTCGCTTTCGGTCTACGAGGGTACATAGACACACTCTCCCCCTCTCGTTGCTATGCATCTCCTAGATAGATCTTGCGTGAGCGTAGGAATTTTTTTGAAATTGCATAATGCTACGTTACCCAACATAAACAACCTCATTTCAAACTAAAGCAATGACCTGAAATGCAATATAGGTCATAATTAAAAGCACAAATTAAAATAACGGCTTGCTACATTTGGATGTTACACAACACATCAGAACATCAACCGTCGCCGATGAAGTTCGAAACGATCCAACCTGTAGACGCATGAGCGCAAACGAACAAATACTGGATCCATGCAAATCCACCGAAGAATAACACCGACTGAATCCCGCGAGATCCATTGGAGACACAACTCCACACGCTCTCCCACAATGCGAGAGGCACCGCTGGGACAGGGCTATGCGGGGAGAACCTTA